GCTCGGTGGTCGCGCGCGCGGTTGGGGGTGCACCGAGAGAGAGAGAGAGAGAGAGAGAGAGAGAGACGGAGAAAGGGTGATACGGAGAGATAGAGCAAGAGAGAGAGCTAGAGAGAGCGCGAGAAAGAGAGGGAGAGGGAGAGAGAAAGAGAGGGAGAGGGAGGGAGAAAGAGAGAGGGATGGAAAGAGATAAGGCGAGAGCGACGGGGATGAAAGGGAAGCGGCGGGTGGAGTCGCGGGGATGATTTGCCGGGGTTGCAAAGCGAGGTTGCAAAGCGGGGTTGCGAGGAGGAAAGCGGGATAGGGGCGATGCTTGTGGAGAGGGTTGGGGAGAGGATTGGGGAGAGGGTACCGAGGCGGGTCGGTGTCGAGCGGAACGAGCCACGGGCCAGTTCCGTCTCGAGTCCAGGAGTAGAAGAGCTACTGGCCGCTTGTCTGCTCCCTTCTTTCGCTATAGTTTCATTTCTTTCCGTTTTAGTTAATTCTTCAGTTCCGATTGATTGACATATTGTACACCACAGAGGAGACACTTAAAATCTATATAGAGAGAGAGACAGATATATATATACATATATATATATATATATATATATTATTCGAACATATGTATAATTGAAGGAAAGCATCGTAGAAAAGAAATCGCGCGCGCGAGTACACGTTATACACACCCCGCGGGCCGTATACGTGCAACCGTGTACGGGTGCATCGCATTATAGTTCCATACACACACATACACACACAGACGTAACACACACGCACGGAAAGGGAGATAAAAAGGAAGATAGATAGATAGATAGATAGAGAGAGAGAGAGAGAGATAAAGAGAGACAGAGAAAAAGAGGAGCGAGAGAAAGCGAGACGCACACATCATATACGTACGGACGTAGACGCATTCGCGCGAGCACAGAGAAAACAAACGGAGTGTCCACGTACACAGAGAGAGACACGTTTATCCACACATACATTGTATATGTACATCGAGACACGTAGAGAAGCGCGAGCAAACGACGGGACGGTACACCTCTCTATTTCTCGCGATTACCGTAGATAATTCGAGATTACCGCGCGCCACGAAACTGTAGCACACGCGAGAACAACGTGTGTGCAACCCCGCGATCAACCGCATCTCCGTCGTTTCGTTCTGGTGTGATAACTTGTCGTCGGCGACGATTGTTGTCGGCACGGACCCGATGCATGGACACACCCGCCGCCATCCAGCGTATCTGTAGATCAGTACCCGGCCGGCCAGGTGTGTAAACCCGCGTAGTACCTGCGTTCTCTGTCCATCCGATGCGCGTGCAACAAGCCCGCAGCTCCATTCACTTTTAGGAAACGTAATTCTCGCATTCAGGTACGTGCATCTTCTCTATCTCTTCCCCTCTCTAACTCTGTGTACTGTATATATACCCTCTGTAATCTATAGCCTCTGTATACTCTATAGTCTCTGTATACTCTATAGCCTCTGTTTCTCTATAGCCTCTGTTGTACTCTATAGTCTCTGTGCTCTGTGTTCTCCGTACTCTCTGTTTTCTCTGTCCTCCGTTCTTCTCCGTTCTCTTGCCTGTACCAACCGTTGATCCGACTATGTTCTCGTCGCATGTACGATCGTTCGCGCTAAAAATCGTTCCAAAATCGTTCAGCAATTTCCTCTACAGGGTGTGCATCCCTCTTCGATCCGTCAGGATCGTCGCAGCGTCGACGCGTTCGCGCTTCCCAGCGAGTAGAACAACACGCGGCGCGTCCGCGAGAAGCGATCTCGTTCGCTGTCGCTTTTCAAAAAGCTGTTTTATACGTTCGAGCTTTCGCGTATCTCCGCGTTCTGTGTTCGAACAGCTTTCGCTTCGCTCGAATTCGATGGAAAACCGCGAACTCCATCGCCGGCTCGCGGAACAGAAATTGTGGATTATGACGAGTTGGTACAGTCAACGCGAACGATTTCCATGAAGCATCACCCTCGGACGAGATCCTCGATCTCTCTTTCACCCGTGAATCGTGTGCTTCGTTTCTGTAAATCGTGAAATCGGGAAATAAGACAGACCTCGCCGTGGTGTAACAGTGTTCGTGAGATTCGATCGACCGATTTCGGGATGAGAACGTTCTGATCTTGTCCTCGTTTTTGCGGTTAAATTCGACGGACTTTACTCCTCGATGTTATCTTTGTTTATCTGTATTCTCGTCGTTCTCACTTACGTCTCTCGCGCGGAAACGTCGAGCGGAGCGCGTCCGGTAGAAACGTCGAGCACGGATTCAGCGTCCATCGACGACGCGATCTGGATCCTCGATCTGGATCGAGGAACGCTCGTTGGTAATCGTTCGAGGGTGTCGGTGTTGTGATTGCTAAAAATGCATGCCTCTCGTGTTCTGTGTCCTGCGAATTCCGTCCGCGACGACAGTCCTGACGGGACGCCGTTCGTTATCGAATAAAATGCGTCGAGTTCTCTCGGCGTTTTCGCAGCTTCGCAACTGTGCACGCATCGTGTGCACATAAAATGTCGACGCGATATAGCGCTCGAAGAAGTCGCAACGGGTTTTCCGACATCTCGAGAGCAGAATTTGTCGAGGGGAACGCGACAAACGGGTGGCGCGCACCCAGGGGGTGGGTTCGCGCGAGGGTTAACAATTGCGGCGAGTCGAAAATGACATCACAAAAATATTTCAGCAAAATTTTCATTCACCGTAGATCGCTTCGAAGTTTTTCTCGACGTTTTTGTAGACGTTTTTGTAGACGTTTTTGTAGACGTTTTTCTCGTTCGTCCGACGAAAACGAAACGAAGCGACGGAGAAGTCGCTGCTCGCAGTCGCAACGGGTTTTCCGATATCTCGAGAGCAGAATTTGAACCGTTCATTTTGAAAATGGTATAAGTCACTTTACCGTAATGAAAAGTGGTGATTTTTTAATGTTTATACGAAATTATTTATACTGAGAAAAATATCAGTGTCCTGAGATAACGAATACAAGTAAATCTTCTCGAAAGTCAGCATCCATATAAAACAAAGTGACTTATGCCACTTTTAAAATAAACGGCTCGTTTGTCGAGGGAAACGCGACAAATGGGTGGTCGAGCACCCAAGGAATGAGTTCGCGCGAGTAGAATTTTAAAAAATTGCGGCGAGTAGAAAATAACATGACAAAAATATTTCAGCAAAATTTTCATTCACCATAGATCACTTCGAAATTGTTCTCGACGTTTTCGTCGACGTTTTTGTAGACGTTTTCCTCGTTCATCCGACGAAAACGAAACGAAGCAACGGAGAAAAGTCGCCGCTCGCAGTATTTATTATTTATTATTATTGAGAAAAATATCAGTATCCTGAGATAACAAATACAAGTAAATCTTCTCGAAAGTTAGCATCCATATTTTGAAACGTGTTCAAACGCAAACCCTTAAATATATCGACTTAAAAACAAGGTGACTTATGCCACTTTCGAAATAAACGGCTCATTTGTCGAGGGAAACGCGACAAACGGGTGGCCGAGCACCCAAGGGGTGGGTTCGCGCGAGGGTTAACAATTGCGACAAGTTGAAAATAACACGACAAAGATATTTCAGCAAAATTTTCTTTCACCGTAGATCTCTTCGAAGTTTTCCACGACGTTTTCGTCGACGTTTTCGTCGACATTTTTCTCGTTCGTTCGACGAAAACGAACCGAAACGAAGCGGCGGAAAAGTCGCCGCTCGCAGTCGTAAGCTCTTCCAACGCACCCGGCCGCGTTATAGTTCGAGGAAAATTCCGTCGTTCGTCGCCTCGGTCACGCGAACGATTGCGCGCGCGGCCGCAAAACACGGCAAATTAATTAATTAGATTCCCGGCGACCGCTTCGTTCGGCTCCGAGCTGGCCGTCCCAGCGCGTTTCGAAATATTTTGAAAGCGAAGGTCCCGCGGAGTTTCGGAAATGTTGCGAAAGATTTCGAGGGAGATTTTTTTTTGGAGGGTTTCAGATGGGTCTCGAAAGGTTTCGAAAGGTTTCGTGCGGTGGTCGCACCTGTCTGTTCGCGGACGGCGACGGACCGGCGAGCCTCGACAGTCGCTATCTGTTCGTCTTGGCCGGTTTCCGCGGAACCTTTACCCTGTTCTTGCTGGTAGCCAGCTCCAGACCGCCCCTCGTCAGCTGATTGAAATCGATAATGGTGAGCCTCGGCTCGACGGGATGTCTCGACAGAGGCTGTACCCCGACGAGCGGTGCCCCGGGGCTCCGGAACCTGTAGCTCCGGTTCCTGCACCCGCCGACGCCCGTTCCACTTCCACTGCCACTTCCACTTCCACTTCCACTGCCACTTCCGGTCCCAAGCTGGCTCATCCGCGTGCCGCTCATCGATCGGTAACCGCCGCTCGCCGGCGGGTCCGCTGCCTCCTCCTGGAAGTATCTGCCGATCGAACCGCCGTCAATCCCGGCGGCACCCTTTGCAAATTCATTCTCGCGAACCACCGTTTCGAAAGCACCCTCTTGTAACCCTTAAATGCATGATTCTTTTGTTTTGAATTTTGAAAAATCGTTTTTTGTAGGAATGTTGTCGTAGGTAATCTAGGTAATAATATAAAATATAATATGAAATAAGTGGGTAATAAATAATATAATATAATAGGTAATAAATATGGTAATGTAATAGTAATATGATAGGTAATAAATAATATAATATAATAGTTAATAAATATGGTAATATGTAATGGTAGTATAATAGGTAATAAATAATATAATATAATCGGTAATAAATATGGTAATATAATGGTAATATAGTAGGTAATAAATAATATAAATAAATAGGTAATAATATAAAATAATATAATAAGAATCTAGGTAATAATATAAAATAATATAAAATAAAAATCTAGGTAATGATATAAAATAATATAATAAAAATCTAGGTAATCTAGGTAATATTGAGTATATTTTTTTTTTTTTTTAAAAAGTTGTATGCAGACTTTTGGCAACAATACGCGTTTATTACTAAAATTATCGTAGACGTAAACAAATGGTCGTGTATTTATATTATCTATTAGTATATAGGAATTTTCACATTATTTATAAATGAAATGAGGCAAAGCAATTGCGATTTTTGTTGCGACACAAAGCAACCTCGCATTTGATTGCACTCAGTCCGTGAAACTTGAAAAAAGAAAATATCTCACCGAGTAACACATTGAAGGTTATCATCCAGCACATTCAAATGTCAAAAAACATATAACTTACTCGCCAAAAGTAATATCAAGTCTTCTATTTCGCACATGGTCTATTGTCTATTGTTATCAGCGTGTGTTCGGAAACGCACATACTCGGGTTTTTGAATAAAATTCAGTGGAACTGGAATGTAGACGATTGGCAACAATATGCATTTAAGGGTTAAACGATTCTAACGTCGATTCTAGTCGACGCGAACGAGAGTTTCTAGATTTCGAGTCGAATATCCGGCGGAAAAAACGAAGGCTCGCGCGGGTATTCGCACGCTTCGAGCAGCGTGAAAATAGCGCGGAACATTTTTCAGTTTTATCGGATCCGGAATTGGTTGCTATCGTTGTGTCGTGTATAGGGATTTTATTCTGGTGTGTGATCTGTTATTTCGGCGAAGTATAGTAAATTCCGTGACCGAGGTATAGTAAATTCTTGCAAATTGATCCTCGGCTTGGAAAGAAGAATGGATAATTTGGGAAGGGGAGGTACGATTGTGCCTCGCGGCTCGTTTTTTTATAATTGTTGCCGATCGAAGACTATGAATTATAGTGTATTTTTGTATATAATCGTATAATGTAAAAATAATAATAATAATAATAATAATAATAATAATAATAATAATAATAATAATAATAATAATCGTATAATAATAATCGCATCACCGCTTCCCAAATTGTCCATTCTTGTGTTCAAGCTTGAGGGTGAATTAGGGAGAATTTACTGTAATACGGAAATATCGATTATGATTCTGAAATCGATGACTATGAATTATAATATATTTCCGTATACAATCGTATAATATAAAAGTAATAATAATCGTAAATAATAATCGCATCTCCGCTTCCCAAATTGTCCATTCTTGTGTTCAAGCTTGAGGGTGAATTAGGGAGAATTTACTGTAATACGGAAATATCGATTATGATTCTGAAATCGATGACTATGAATTATAATATATTTCCGTATACAATCGTATAATATAAAAGTAATAATAATCGTAAATAATAATCGCATCTCCGCTTCCCAAATTGTCCATTCTTGTGTTCAAGCTTGAGGGTGAATTAGGGAGAATTTACTGTAATACGGAAATATCGATTATGATTCTGAAATCGATGACTATGAATTATAATATATTTCCGTATACAATCGTATAATATAAAAGTAATAATAATCGTAAATAATAATCGCATCTCCGCTTCCCAAATTATCCATTTTTGTGTACAAGCTTGAGGGTGAATTAGAGAGAATTTATTGTAATACGGAAATATCGATTATGTTTCTGAAATCGATGACTATGAATTATAATATATTTCCGTATACAATCATATAATATAAAAGTAATAATAATCGTGTTTCTAAAGTAATGTCTCAGTAATGTCTCTCTAATTGTGACGCTCAGATTGTCCACAAAGTTAGGCAATTTGGGAAGAGGAGATTCGATTATTCGAGCCTTGCAGCTCGTTTTTATAATTGTTGACAATCGATAATCATAAATAACGAGCCACAAGACTCGAACAATCGTATCTCCTCTTCCCAAATTGTCCATTTTTGTAAACAATCCGAGCGTCAATTAGAGAGACATTACTATAAATTCCTCGCCTTCACTCGAAGGTGAAACGGGTCAAGTACAACGGTTCAACTTACTCGTGTATGCTGGCGAGGTGGACAGGCGCGGGTGTCCTGGAGGTCCTCGGCCGTGGCTCCCTGGGCACCCGATATCTCGGCCTCGATTGCCGCGATTTCTTCGCGGACGGTTGATCGGGAAGGCCCGCCGGGATCAGGCCCACCAGCTTGTAGTAGTCTAAGAACACACGGGCCAGATTCCGGCCGATTCTGTAATCTACGGATACGATTTTCCAGTGAAGTCGCGTCGAACTTTCAAACGAATCGAACGGGTGTTCTCGGAATAATGGAGAGTGTGTGCGCGAGGGGTGGTGGGGGAGAGAGTGATAAGATCGAGAAAGGATACAGCCCTCCTCCGTGTACGGTAGTATACCGGACGCCGCTTTCCTGTTGTAACCGTACATGGACACCTCGATGCTGTAGCAGTTGACGTGCTCCTTCAGAATGGAGCAGAGATAGCGCCTCGCTGTGCCGGACTTGTGCGAGTCCTGATTGTACATCGTGTTCCCGATCTCGTAGTCCTGCGCGTGTTGCGCCAGCAACTTCGGCAGAACGATGTGCCTCTCGTACCTGAGAGGCTGGCAGCCGTCGGTTAGACAAGCGCAACACACTTTCCGCAAATTGCCGGGCCGACTTGCCGCAAACCGCGCTACAGAGGGATCCGTAGAACCGGTCGGAGTTACCTGTACACGTCGTCGTAGGTGTTCCCGTAGATGAACAAGCCCGTGGCGTTCGTGTGCGCGTGCAGGTCCAGAACGCAGTCCAACGGGGTGCGAAGGTTCTTGTCGAGGTTCTTCAGCATTGGTTTGATGGCCACCAGCGCTGGGTGCAGCCAGTCGGATATCTTGTTCCACGCTCGGTTCAGATCTGCTCCCAGGGCCGTGGACCTTCGAAACCGATCGATCGATCTCTCTCGTGCATTCCCTTGTGCATGTCGATGCATTCTATACGGTGTCCCAATAAACGTCTCGCGATACTGAAATGGGAGGTTCCTGAGGTGATTCGAAGCAACTTTTCCCTCAGCGAAAATGCGATCCGAGGCTTCGTTTACGAGTTATTCACGAAAAACGGTGGCCAATCGGAGAGCGAGCGCGGCCGGCGCTCCGCCCTCGCCGCGCCGGCCGTCTGGCGCAGCGGCAGTGGTCGCGAGGGCGGGGCGTCAGCCGTGCGCGATCGCTCGTTGGTCAGTGTTTTTCGTGAATAACTCGTAAACGAAGCCTCGGATCGCATTTTCGCTGAGGGAAAAGTTGCTTCGAATGACGCGAAGAACCTTCTATTCCCGTATCGCGAGACATTTTCGGAACGCTCTGTATATACAGGGTGATCCATCAGAGCTGTTACAAACCTGTAATTACCGAGGAATACCCCGTCGGGGTTCATCATCGGGACTATCTTGAAGACCACGTAGTTTCTGAGGACCTGAGCGATCGGGTGGCAGCTGACCAGAAAGTCCATCAGACCCTGGCAGACGAAAGACGAGGGCGACTCGCCCGGGTGCACCCTCGCCAGGATCACCACCACCTTTCTGGAACGCTCCTGCTGCGAGTCCTCCATGTGCGATGCTATCGTGATCAGCTCGATCTTCCGTTTCTGTATGGACGTGGCCAGCGTCTCTCGCTTGGTGCACGCGATCCTGGTGCAGAGATTGTCCAGGTGCGCCAGGTACCGGTTGTAGGAGTACGGGTAGGTCAGCGCGAACTGGTAGACGTCCTCTTCGCGGTCGAACGAGAACGCGAAGCTGAGCACGTAGTGGTTCTGGTGTTGCGCCGACTTGTAGTAGAACACCTGTGCGACGATGTCGGCGGCGTGAATTTAGCGAGAAGGTCGTGTATAGGAGTCCGGCGTATTTTTTACGTGTTCCGTAGCTTCACGCTAGATTCGCCGATGTTGGGTTCTACGGGGTAATCCGTTTAAATCGATCCAGTCGAAAATCATCGAAACCGTCGACGATACTAAAAGATGTTTCGAACGGGATTCGAATGGTCTCAGGGGGCGCGTGATCTGATATCAATCGGATTTGTCTAAACGAACGCATCGAGGTCATACGAAACTCATATTTATTTTTTTAAATGGAATATATATGTGTTTTTTATTATACTAGTCGTCATTCTTTTTATAAAAGTATTAAGGTATTTATTGTGAAAGATCATTGGTTCAGAAGCTTTATTATTATATTATTTAAGCTTTCTATATATATGTACAGGATGTAACAAAAATCTGCCTCGTGATACGGAAATGGAGGGTTCCTCAGGTCATTCGAAGCAACTTTTTCCTTAGCGGAAATGCAATCCGCGGCTTCGTTTACGAGTTATTAACGAAAAACACTGACCAACGAGCGATCGCGCACGGCTGACGCCCCGCCCTCGCGACCACTGCCGCTGCGCCAGACGGCCGGCGCGACGCGGCGAGGGCGGGGTGCCGGCCGCATTCGCTCTCCGATTGGTCACCGTTTTTCGTTAGTAACTCGTAAACGAAGCCTCGGATTGAATTTTCGCTAAGGAAAAAGTTACTTCAAATGACGCGAAGAACCCATATTTCCGGATTGCGAGACATTTTTGCGACATCCTGTATATATATAGAGAAATAATAATTTTAAATGACCCGGCAAGCGAAAGATCCGGGTTTTCCCGATCTATTCGACTCAATTTCCTCCTAAAATCGCGAGTCCCAAATTTCGAATCAGCTCACCTGGTCCCTGGGTATCCTCTGCCACTTGGACCTGGTGCTGCTCTTGACCAACGGCGTCATCCCGTTGCGAAACAGGTTCGCGCTCTTCGATATGTTGACGATGTTAAAAACGACGCGTTGCTCGGCCTTCACGTTGTCCACCGTGAAGTTGAACCACAGCCTTAGCCGAGGATTGCAGGTGTCCGGTCTGATGAACAGATCGTACTCGAACTCCGAGATCAGATCGACCCTGCCGAGGTTGCCGGTCTCGAAGGATGCGTCGAAGCAAATGTGACCCTTCTTCGCCTTCCCGCTGTGACCCGGCGGTCGCATGATCATCTTGTTCACGTTGCCGAGGCCGCCCTCCGTGTCGCTGTCCTCGCTGTCTGCAACAATAAGTTCGCAGCTGGAGCGCCCGACTCTTTTCGTATTCCGTGAAACGGCCTTCGCGCGGGGACCTGTCGCAAACGGATCATCTCGTCGTGCGATCGTCGCAAGATTTTTGGTAGAAGCCGGACTAAAATAATAAATCCGAATATAAATAAAATCAATCAGAAAGTTCGACTTCTCGATTTTGAACGGCCATCGCGCGATCGTTGCAAGATTTTTAGTAAAAGCCGGACTGGAATTCGACGGAAACTCTGATAGAACTCTGCTAAAACTCTGCTAAAACTCTGCTAAAACTCTGACAAAGCCCTGATAAATCCGAATGTGTTCGATTTCTCGATTCCGCGGATCGTTAGCAACGGGTCGACGCGTGATTTCACGAGTCGACGACGATAAAATAGAGAACTTGGGATATGGAGAACTCGAAAAGAATAAACTAGGCTGTTCGAACCGGCTCTTTGGTAGAGGCTGGTGTGCTCGAGCGGGTCTCGGCCATCGGTGAGTGCCATCCTCGCAGGGCAGGGATCGGTGTTCCACCGGGCAGAAGACGCGCGAATCGACTGACTCCGCGGCCAGGCCTAGCCGAAAGGTCTGCCGTGGGTGTGCTTCGGTTCCACCTACGCGGATAACTCCGAAACGACCGCGCTCGTGCCGTTGGATCAGCACGTTACGGTTAATTCTCGTGTCGGTTCTCGTGCGAGGAATCTCTCGGCGGCCCGTGTTCGTGATTTCGCGCGGTTCTATCCGGCCCGAGTCAGGGAATCGGGTTTGCCGGGGATTCGCGTGGCTGCCACGCGTCAGAGATCTCTTCGTGGCCGCTCGACAGCTCGTCCCGCTATCATAAACGGCACCGAGATTCCGTTCCGCGGTCACGTAACGCGGCCCGAAAATCGCGGGACCGGTATCCGACTCGGAATCGAAGTCGAAATTAAGGAGGTCCATTAGGAGGGGGGAGGGAGGGGGGACGGACGGATCCGAGCGCGGTTATCTAGGTCTTCCGCCGTTTCTAATCTCCGCGCGATCACGTGGGAACGATGGAACGTGCCGCGGCCGCTTACGAAGCTGTTGCTTCTGGTCACGAAACCGTCGGAAGGAAAAAGTTCGCCGGTGCACCCCGGTTGTTCCGCCGGTTCTCGGAAGTTCCATCGCCGCCTCGGCGGACTGGTTGTACCGCTTGGATCTCCGCCGGAGACTGGATCCATCGATCCGCACCCCCGTGGAATTCGATGATTAAGCGGATTAATTAGTTCTTAGCTTGTGGCTGGTCGTTCTTTTCTTTTTATTTAAGCGAATTAGATCTCGGAGATCGTTGAATTTTTATTCGAACACGGCGTCGAATCGTCTCCGCCAGGAAATTAGTTGCTACGATTTTCAGCTTTATTTTTGTTTTTCTTTGTTTTACTATTGGTTCGGTATATTCGGTGTTATAATTTTTAATTTGGGTGGATAAGTTCGTTAAAAATATAGTTATTAAGATATAACATTTATTATTCCTTTTTTATATTCGGTGTTGTCATTTTTAATTCGTACGGATAAGTTCGTTAAAAATATATTTCTTGAATATAAAATTTATTATTCTCTTTTTATATTATATTTATATATAATTTTTATATATATTTTATATTACATTATTTTATATTTCTTGAATATAAAATTTATTATTCTCTTTTTATATCCAGTGCTATAATTTTCAATTCCTACGGTTAAGTTCGTTTAAAAAATATATATTTATTGACTATAAAATTTATTATTCTATTTTTCTATCCAGTATCACAATTATTACAGATAAGATTATTGACCAAATATTTACCGAATATATCATTTCATTATTAACAATTTATTAAGTCGCATCAGTCACCGAGTTACAATCGTCTTTCGACCCTTCTCCAGCTCCCCAGAGAACTTTCACTGTCAAGGTTACTCGACAAGGTTAGAACCTCCTGGTTCCTAGCAGTACGCCGAGGCTCTTCGAAGGTTTCCTACATTCCTCGACCCTTTCACACAAACCCTTCCAACTAAGCTTCTCACCCACTTTTACCGCGCTTACGGACACCAGGCTCGAATATTCCCACCGCCGAAAAGTGCCGCCATCTTGAAAATTCGTATCTCGCCCATGAAAGGGTTAACAGTCGTTGCGAACCTTCGAAGGTAACGACACGTCACCGTTCCGCTACGAGCCTACGGCCTGTCACGTGCAGCACCCCGCCGTTCTCTCTTTTCCCTTTGAAAGATACATAGCGTCGGCGTTGGACAATGCTAAATCCAGCCGACACGGCGTGCCTATTTCCATCGTGAAATAGCGTGTGCGGTGTCGTGTGCGTCTTGCATCGTGCGTCGCGTTATCGTAAATGACGCAATCCGGTAGGTGGTAGTTCTACGTTCATTATCGACGGTGGAACGAACCTAAGAAACGGGAATAGAGTCGCGGCCCGAACGAACGACCGTGCTTATAGCGGCTCGCAGCGGGGATAGCGGCGGCTTCGTTATCAATGATTCACCGGACCGGCAGGGTAAAACCAGCTCCGTGAACTTTGCGGCTATAGTCAATGCTACTGACCGACAGTGACTCGGTTCTCCTTCAATGGCGAAACTCGGTAGACCACCTGATCCGCGACCCAAACGGGATTGCCGATTTTTAGCGAATTTGTCTTCGCAAGCTCTCTTGAAAATTCTCAGTACTTCGGAAATTCTCGAAAAATCTCTGTTCTTCGGAAATTCTCTCGAAAACTCTCAGTTTTTGGGAAACTCTGTCGAAAATTCTCAGTTCTTTGGAAACTCTCCCGAATATTCTCAGTTCTTTGGAAACTCTCCCGAAAATTCTCAGTTCTTAGGAAATTCTCCCGAAAAATTCTCAGTTCTTTGGAAGCTCTCCAAAATTCTCAGTTTTTGAGAAACTCTGTCGAAAATTCTCAGTTCTTTTGAAACTCTCCCGAATATTCTCAGTTCTTTGGAAACTCTCCCGAATATTCTCAGTCCTTTGGAAACTCTCCAAAATTCTCAGTTCTTAGGAAATTCTCCCGAAAAATTCTCAATTCTTTGGAAGCTCTCCAAAATTCTCAGTTTTTGGGAAACTCTGTCGAAAATTCTCAGTTCTTTGGAAACTCCCGAATATTCTCAGTTCTTTGGAAACTCTCCCGAAAATTCTCAGTTCTTAGGAAATTCTCCCGAAAAATTCTCAGTTCTCTTTGGAAACTCTCCAAAATTCTCAATTCTTCGGAAACTTTGTCGAATATTCTCAGTTCTTTGGAAACTCTCGAAAATTCTCAGTTCTTCGGGAACTCTCTCGAAAGTTCTCAGTTCTCCGGAAACTCTCGAAAATTCTCAGATCTTCGAAAACTTTGTCGAATATTCTCAGTTCTTTGGAAACTCTCGAAAATTCTCAGTTCTTCGGGAACTCTCTCGAAAGTTCTCAGTTCTCCGGAAACTCTCGAAAATTCTCAGATCTTCGAAAACTCTGTCGAATATTCTCAGTTCTTTGGAAAGTCTAAAAAATTCTCAGTTCTTCGGAAATTTTGTCGAAAATTCCCAGTTCTTCGGAAACTTTGTCGAATATTCTCAGTTCTTTGGAAATTCTCCCGAAAATTTTCAGTTCTTTGGAAACTTTCGAAAATTCTCAGTTTTTGAGAAATTCTGTCGAAAATTCTCAGATCTTCAGAAACTCTCGAAAATTCTCAGTTCTTCGGGAACTCTTCCGAAAATTTTCAATTCTTAGGAAACTCTCCCGAAAAATTCTGTTCTTTGGAAGCTCTCCAAAATTCTCAGTTCTTTGGAATCTCTCGAAAATTCTCAGTTCATTGAAAACTCTCAAAAAATTCTCAGTTCTTCGGAAATTTTGTCGAAAATTTTCTAGTTCTTTGGAAACTCTCCCGAAAAATTCTCAGTTCTTTGGAAACTCTCAAAAATTCTCAGTTCTTCGAAAACTCTCTCGCAGACCCTTAACCCTTTCCCGCGACATTCCCAGACCCGCGCGAATCGCTTCCGACCGCGCAAATGTCGGCGTTGCCCCGTTTCAGCGCCGAATCCTACACCCTCGTCATCCCGGTTTCGCAGGCGACTGTACCCGCAGGCCGTTCTCGGGTTTCTAAGTGACCAAATTTTCGACGCTTATTACCCTCGTTTCACGGGCGAAAGGGCACGAGTGACTTTCACGGTGGCAACACCTTGCCCGCGACGGGACGAGCACCACTCACCCCTTTCTTCTCCCCTTTCTTCTTTCTCGCGATTCAGCCGGCAGAATGTGTGCCGTGCCGTCGCGATCACGTTTCGGTGGTCCGTGATGGCCCCGGGACGTAAGAGATTCTCGGTGTAGGGTAAATTTTTTGTAATTCGCGCTCAGATTGTGCGCAATTAGATCGAATAAGAAATACTTTATTTTTTTTGGTGCCTGTAGAGGGTTAAAACGCGATGGTTTCCAGGAAATCTCGAGTTCGAATGACGGTTCAAGCGATGCTTCGTATAAATGTAGCAAATTTTCCATAATTTGCGCTCAAATTGTGTACAATTCGATTAAATAAGAAATACTTTAATTTTTTGGGTGCCTGCGGAGGGTGAAAATGCAATGACTGCTAAGAAATCTCGAGTTCGAATGGCGGTTCAAGCGATGCTTCGGACAAGAAATCGCTCGTTTGACGACTCAGCGTTCAAAATACCACAAATTCTCTCTAATTCGCACTCAGATTGTACGCAATACGATCGAATAAGAAATTCTTCAATTTTTTTGGGTGTTGGCAGAGGGTTATAGCTCGACGGTTTCCAAGAAATCTCGAGTTCGAATAACTATTTAATCGATGCTTCGGAAAATAAATCGCTCGTTTCTCGATTCTGCGTTCCAAATACAACAAGTTCTCCCTAATCCGCGCTCAAAATAGACACGCAAAAATAGACAATTCGGCAAGAGATACAATTATTACCTCGCGGCTCCTTTCGTTGACAACCGTGACTACAAAAACACGCAGCGAGGCTCGAACAATCGTATCTCCTCTTCCCAAATTGTCCATTTTTGCGTACAATCCAAACGTCAATTAGAGAGAGAATTTGCTGTAATCTCGACGGATTCGCGACGGATTCGAGGGGGACCGGGATCCGACAGGTTCGCGGAGGGCAATTAAAAGCAGAACAAGGGCGGGCCGGCCGTGAGGGACGGGGACAATCGTCGTGAACGGGAAGACGAGGAACGGGACCGACGATAACGCGCGCCACTAAACTCGTGCTAAATCGTAGACGGCTATCGGCCCGCTCGTGAAGATACCGATACGGTAACTTCGGTCGTTAAGCTAACAAGGGATACTTCGAGCGAGAACTTTGTCGCCGCGAAGAAGAACGCCGCAAGTCGCGTGCGATGTTATCGCTTCTGCGATGTTGTCGCTCGAAGTTCTGATCACTGGTGGGCTGCGTGTTTTACGCGTTTATGGAGAAACGTTTTGAAACAATTTGAAAATATTAGGTCTACCGGAAAGTTCTGTCCGTTTTTGAATTGAAATATAACACAATTGTCATACATTTAATAATA